GATATTTCCCCCATTTGCGGGGAACGAGGGAAAATTTTTAAATTTTTAAGGGTAATGTCTTCAACTAGATACAATTTGTGATCTTTTGACGTATTGTTAAAAGAAATCGGTCCAGTGAGAGCTGAGAAAAAGTAGTGACAGACACAAAAAAAAAAAAAAATAAAAAAAAAAATAAACACATCATGGTAAAATTAATACCTTCTCAGCTTCGCATCGAAGCTAAAAAAAACACATCTTAGTAAAACCAATACCTTCTCAGCTTCGCATCGAAGCTAAAAGATGTATATATATATATGATATTATGATTTTGCCCTTCTTAGTACTCTGGAAAATTATAAGATTTTAAAAAAATATATAATAATATATAAAGTATAAATGAAAAATATATATTGATTCATTTGTTATTCAAATAGAGCAATTTTAAACTAAATTAAACATGGTAAACCATATTCATCAAAAATTACATTATTATTGACAATATATACCTTATAAAGTATTTTAATACTATAAATAAAAAATAAAAAGGATTAAATGTATTGTCGAAATCTTTGAATAATTATTAAAATTATCTTTTTTTCACAATATTTAGACTACAAAAATATTAATAATTTTTAAAAAGTACATTATAATATTCGTTTATGAATATTTAATGAAATATTTTACCATATTTATTAAACAAATTTTTCTTAATAAGCTAGTAAAAATGTTTATAATTATAAATAAAACATTGTTTAGGTTAATAGGGTACTGGATACTTCAGACTTTGAAAATATCTTAGATTTTTGTTATTAAATTACATTCGATTACATTTCTATAGTTAGTATCATGCATGTTGACTATGAAAGTTATAAACACTTTAAGGAATGAGTCTACTAAACCAAGCTATTATAATATTTTAATTATACCTTACATTTAATTCAAATATTATTGGTCATACACCTCTTAAAAATTTTTGAATTATATAATATATAATTAATTAAAACTAATTATAGTTTTATGTATTTAAAGAATAGATAAGAATTTTTCTTAATTTGTATTACAATTATTTTAAGGATTTTATAGTACATTTTACTTTGATGCTTATAATTTATACGATTTTATTTAGTTCTTTAGATAAAATGTTGTAAAATAATTCTTATTCTTACTTTTGTTTTTCAGATGCTGGTATTGATTGCTTTAAATGTGTTTCACTAGAATGGCAGAATCGAGCATGCGATGACCCATTTCATAATAACTTCAGTTCTGGTCTGCTGGAATCACCTTGCATGGGTGGGCGGAAAGGTCGTAATGGAGTTTTTCCCGCTACCGCTTGTATAAAGCTTACCGGGTATTATCGTAAGTTATGTTTATTTTTCATTGGGTATTAAAGCAGTTGTTTAAATAAATCTGTGATGAATTACGTTTTAAATACAACGTCATTGTTATGAGTACATTATTTTCATCAATGCTTTCTGTTAAAATTAAAGTTAAAATTTTATTATGAAAGTAAATTGATATTATTATTATTATACTCATGCACAATAATTTAAATAATATTTTCTTATCAAGTAAAAATAAAATTTCAATAAGCCTCATGGGATTTGTGTACTAACACAAAACTCATGAGACATAGATAAATCAACACCTTTAGAAAGGATCACAAATAATCTTGTAACTATTAACATTAAATATATACATAGTACTATCTATACTTAATTCTATTATACTATTTAGATTATGAATAGTACTGTATTTAGAATCTGAATTGGTTGAATAACATACATTTTATTTTTGCATCTAACAATAAAAAAAATTTATAGTTTTTTCTAGCATAAGATTTTTTATTTATATGCTAAATTGATTAAAACTAACATAGATCAAGGTTGAGATGTTTAAATATTTTGTTTTAAAATCCACACGATTAAAACATGTTTTAAACATCTAAATTAATCGTACAGCGTTTTGTTTAAACAGCACATATATCAAAAAAGTTGTTTAAAAAACATTTTACACATCATATAGGTGGTGTCGAGAGTAAAACTACCAAAGTTAAAAATGTATAAATAAAAATAATTATATTTTTAATTTATTTTGACTTAGATAGTATTTCTCAAGCACAATCAATATAATTAAGACAAAATACAATAAAAATGTAAATTTAAACAATTGACAAATATAGAACTCATCGTCATTGCATTCTTGGACATTTCTAAAATTTACTATTAATTTTTTACTTTAAATAACAATGCAAAGTTTTATTACCTCTATCAATAATACAACTAGAAACTAAATTAAAATTTTTAATACCTTTGTCAAGTAAAAATATAAAATATCTAATTACTTATTAATTTTTATTTGAAATATGTAATATTGAATTTATTTTATTATAAAATAAGTTTCATAGTAAAATTTCCAATCTAAAGTAATATCTTTTTTGCATAGAATCTACCGGACAACATGTCACTGTTAGAGGGTGTGCATTGGATAGTGGTACACTTACTACTGACACAGAAATTATTAGAATGTCTCATTGCGGAGGATTTTATTTTGATGATAAGTAAGTATAAAAAAAAATATAAACATATACTTAATTATTTATACCTATATTTTAGTACTTATTGCCAATGCAATTGTTATGACAATAATTACATAAATATTTTGAAAATTTCAATACTAATTATTTCAAATATCTTATCTAATAAATTTCAATTAAAAAAAATGTGTTCGCATAAGTTCAGAATCTTAGTCAAAATCTATATAATCATCAACTAAAACAAACAAATCAAAAAACATAATGTGATCACACGGTCAATTAAATAACAACATTATAAAAAAATATACGCAAATGTAATTAGTCTGTATTTTAATGTTCTAATTACAAATAAATGGTAATTTATAAAAATGTTGTTCATTGATGTTGTCATTTTATTTTTAGATATGTCGAGGGTTGTTTACAAAGTTGTGATGATGCAGATGGCTGCAATCCTGGGTCAGTCACATCACCAATAACTTACTTGATTGTCATAGCAATGATCATAATAGTACCAATTATCAAGTTTATTGTATTGCAATAAAAAATAATACATGAAATTAAATTTAAGAACAATTTATTTTAATAAGTATTATCATAAAAACGCTAAAAAGCGGCCATAAATTAAATAGTGTGCCTTACGGATAAAATCATCTAAATTATATTGAATTATTAAATTCACGACCCTTAACATAAAATATACTTTATTTTGATTTTTTGCCAAATCAAATAGATAGTTTAGTGATTATATTTAGTCAATATTAAATTAAAATGTTATTCTATAGAGGTATTTTGTATTATAATATTGACTCAAATTTATATGATTTCTCATGACTATTTAACAATGTAAATGTAACTGAACATATCCCCCAAACATATCTGAATGTTGTATTTTTCTCCATATTACCTTATTATTATGTAAAATATAAATATATTATCCTAAATTAAAAATTATTTATATTGTTTTTAATTCTTGTAATTGTTACGATTACGAACAACAGTGAATTGTTATTCGTAAAATAGATGCGAATTTCAAAAGATTTAAAAAAACGATTTGAAAACTTGGAAAATGTTGAACAGTACACTATAATTTTTTTCTATATTCAATAATTTTTTTTTAAATACATGGTAAAGACCAATATTATTGTATTAGTGTTTATTCTAACTTATTAGAATAATAATATATAGTTTATAATTTCTCAATGAATATTTTTTATTAGTATAAACTTGAGGTGTGAGATTCAGTTAGATTTTTCAAACAATTATTTTTTTTTGCATTTTTTTGAAGTATGATGTCTTGAAAATATTCTCTGAAAGTGTCAAGTCCATCTGATGAATAGATTCCGAGATATTTTACAATTGCTAAAAGGGGTCTCGGAAACTATATGGTAGATATCAGACGACAGCTGTAAGCAACCAGTTTCGATTCGCCTATTATATTTTAGGAATAGTCTTGTTGCATATTTAAAATACCTAAAATTTTTGGTTGGGCATCAGTATATCAGCGATATGTATATGAAATATATAATAAAACACCATAATATACCATATATATCCCCAGAAACTCCAACCCAACACTTATACAACATATATACCCCCAATCTGATATTATCTAATCGATAAATAGCATAAATATATTCTGGGAGTATATAGGTGGCTCAAAAATATGTAAACGCAAATACCCAGAAAGAAAGAATGCGTCGAAGCAAATGCGACATATGCAAATTTACATTTTGGAAGCTTCCACATCGAGAGAAGCACTATTGTATGGTCCAGGAATTGATGATTCTATGTAATTAATTATTTAATTAGTATTTCTATACATAAGGAGTTTTCGACAAAAAAATTGTGATATTCAGATTCAGCTAATCATAAAAAAGTTAACTTCATTGAGCTTAAAATTTAACGAAAATATAATACCGTATTTACATTAAAAAACTTTAAATGCATTTTTTGCGATACTAGCTTTTCTTTCAAATCGTTGACTAACTAATTTTTAAAACTTCTGCGTGGATTTTAATAAAAATTTTACAACTAATTAATAGCATTAAAAATTAGTCTTTGATTTAATTATTTTCATGTTTGCACATACATCTATATGTAAAAAAAAAATGATGTCAAATTGCATTAACTAGAATATAAAAATGTTAAGTTATTGTTGTATTATTTAGAATTGACTTATTTGCCTGATAAATAATATTTGTATATAGCGGACTTGTTATCTAGAAATCATAGTAGCTACACATATAATAAGATTGACATAAAAGGTACAGTACATTTTATTAACAGTGAAATTAATTTAACTAAAGTGAGTTATGTGAGGAAACAGCAAAAGACTCAATTTTAAAACAAGTACTTGAACTTAGTAAAGAGATAGTCTCTTGAAAAAAAAGGGTTCAAACAATAAATAGAAATAAGAAAGATTATATAGAGTACGAGTTTGACAAAGGAGAACACGAGGTAGGTGAAATGAGGTCAGTGACAATAAGCGAGGGCGTGATTGGAGAGGTGGAGAGTTTTAAGTATTAATGATCAGTTGTGCAAAAGAGTGGTGGTATTGGCGAGGACGTAAGACACAGAATTAAGTGCGGGTGGTTGAAGTGGAGAGAAGCGTCTGGCTTCTTATGTGATAAAAAAATTCCAATGAGGCTGAAAGATAAATTCTACAAGACTGTAATGAGGCCAGCTATGATGTATAGTTCAGAGTGTTGGGCTGTTGACGAGAGAATAGTGCAGAGAAAGAGTGTAACAGAGATAGAATTCTTAAATCAACGAGTGGAGTAATTAGAGAAGATAGGATAAGGAACAAACATATAAGGAGTATAGGTGTAGCATTAATCATGGATATGATGAAAGAAAATAGATTCAAATGGTTTGTCCATGTTATGAGAAGAGAGGAGTCGAAAGTTAAGTAAAGTAAAAACAGTCATAGAAATGAATGTTGATGAAAAAAGAGATAGAAAAAGGCCAGTAGAAATGGAGAGATTTTATTGAATTCCATATGAAGACAGCTGATGTGAGGGTAGATAGTGTCAAGTGGAAGTTTAGGATAAGGATAGTCGACCCCAAGTAGTTGGGTTTAAGGCGAGGAAGAAGAAGAAGAACTTAATAAGAAGTGACCTAATAGTAAAAAGCAAGTACCTGTTGAGATAAGGCATTATCTTTATTGTAAAATGTATGTTATGTGAAACATATAGTGTCTAATATAAAAGATCCATTAATAGGTAGGGGCAGACTATTTAACTTTCGGAGGAAATTATTATCTTGCTTTAATGGACTATTATTCCAAATGGATAGATTAAACAATTAATAAATAAAACTGCTATGCACATTATTAGTATTTTAAAAATTATTTTTTCAACTCATGGACTTTCTCAAGAGATGATATGTGATAATGTAGTATTTGGATCTTTTGATTTTAGTCAGTTTACAAAACATAACAATATAGAAATTTTCTACAGTAGCCGCATTACCCTAGAAGTAATGGGCTAGCTAAAAGGACTGTACAAATTGATAAAATGTTAATTAAGAATATGAATAAATCTAGTTTTGAGAATCAGTAATTAATATAATGTAACACCAATACCGTCATTAGGTTTAGCATTTTGTCACCTGCCTCATGGGTAGATTATTAAAGACTGCATTACCAATACATACAAATTTATGTTTATTATATATATCATACATATTTATTATAGCAATTAAATATAGTATGAAATTGATATTTAATAATTTAGTATTGTGATTTTTACGGAGATATTATACAGTAGCTGTTACTTTTATGTCAAACATATATAAAAGTTATAGATCTTGATACAATACTTAAAATAAAATTGTTTGTTATTTATAAATAAATATACTGGTCTACAAGGAATTTTCATCAGAGACTATATGACCTAAATAATAACAAAATTTTTCTAATTAATATAACAAATATTTATGTTTGATTATTAGGTTACGTATGAATAATCAATAGATATTTTAATTAAAAATAAGTTGAAAAAGTTCTTCTTTCTAAACGCATTTTTAAGTTTGAACCACCTCTGTATAAAGGGAAATGGTCTAATTAAAAAAAAAGTATGTCGAATGATAGGAGAATATAAATAGTATAAATCATAAAAAAATTATATTGATCCATACATTTTTCAAAAAATTATGGCAGTTTTATGTAAAAAAATTGATATAATGTCGAAAAGCGATTTTTAAATTTGTATTTTTTGAATTATAACATGTAACGTTATTGTAATAAAATTTGGCGTTGAACAGAGAGGAGCGGCTTCAAAGACAAAGCAATGCTTTAAATAGATGTTGATGATGATGAATGTAAAATAATACCAAGTAATAATTTTTAAACATTATTTGAGTTTTATTTATTCATTTATTTTGTAATTATTACAAATTATAATTAATTTAAGATATAATTAGATATGAAATGATTCGATATTATTTTTAAGTGCAATTTTTAGTTTGTGGTTAACAGCGTTATCTATCTAGAAACTTTTGAATTATTTCAATAAGTCTAAAATTAAAATGTTTCAGGAAATTTATTAAAATGTAATAGATTGCTTGAAGTGCTTAAGGATGTATCCATGTTTACAGTGAGTCCGAAACGTCAGAATTGAACATGGATACATCCTTAAGCACTTCAAGCAACAAGACAATCCATGAAAGCTTTAACACATTCATAATGTCATAGATGTTTTATTATAAATATTTATCTTATTATTTATAAATTTATAACAGAATAAATAAGTGAATTTTGATACGAGGTCATATTTTGATTAAAAAATTTCAGTCATGATTTTTATTAATTATTTTCTAAATGTTCTACGTATTCCAGAACATTAAATATTTTAGATAATTGTTTTAAAAGAATAAGTGAAAATGTAAACAATAATATTATACTTTTTGCAGATTTATATTTTATAATACAAATTATTTATGTAATAAATTGTTTCAGAGTATATTGCCATCATTGACCAAAGAATAAAATCGTATTTCACAAATTCTTACACAGAATAAATAAGGTTATATCAGACAGTAACTTTTATTAAGTAATAATTGTTTTATAATTTTTTTTTTTTTTTTATAAAATTGACTACATTAGTAAACTTTAAATATAAAAAATTAAAATAAATATATTATAATAACAGGTGTTTCATTAAGTTATTTATAAATTTAGAACATTAAATAAAACATAAATACGAGTTCTTTTGAAACTTGGTCAAATTATATTTTGATAAAAAAATTTCAATCATAATTTTTATTAATAATTTTTAAATGTTTTCATTCAAACTCGTCAAATTTGTTTTTTTATTATTTTCTACGATTAATTACACAGTAGCACGTTCAAGTTCAAATGAATCAATAGAGCAGTTAGATAATTTACTTAAATATTCGGGATGGAAAAATTTAAATGATTTGTATGGTATAAAATATTATAAAAAAATGTATTATCTTCAGGATTTGATTGAATTACCGACAAATTTTAGTAACTGTTATCAAAAAATACGAGCTTTGACTGTAACTCTTGGATGCATATACGCAAAAGTTATGAATAATCTCTTTTCAATTATTAACTACATTATTAAAAAATGTAAAAAAAAAATTGATAAAGAAAACGACTTAATTAATGGATGCATTTGCACAGAAGAACTCATAAATATAATATCCATTTGGATTGTTCCAATAGCAATATTGATGAAAGGTGCTATGGATGCTTTGGATTTATCACATTACAAACCATGGGCTACTCTTGAAAACAATAATTACATGATAAGTCCTTTATTAGGAAGAATACAAGATATTATTGACATATTAAAAAATCGAACACTATCACATGATGATATATCTACATACAAATGGACATTAAATACTATAAATATACATTTTGATAACTTATTAATTGATGTAAACTTTGAAACTATTAAGTATTGTGAATTGAAACCTTATAATCCAAATGATTTATTGAATAAATGGACTCGAGAATATTTCATTGTTAACCAAAGAGTAAACTTAATATTTTTAAAATTCTTAACCAGAAAAATTAAAGATTATATCAAGACAGTATCTAATGAAAAGTATTTTCAACTCGGTTTTAAATTTGATCCGATCACCGAAGAAACGTTTATACCAACACCAAAAGAGCCAATTGAAATAGGTATTTAAAATAAAAAAATATTAATTGAAATATCATTTCTATGTCTTATAATTTTTTTTTTTTATGAATCTAGAATTGGAATTTAAAACAGCACATAAAAAGCTTCCAACGCCACTACCAGTAAAATTTCATTAAATAATTATAAAAACATAATAATATGATTTCATCACTAATTTATTTTTAATAATTTATTATATTAATATAATTATTTCTAACTCATAAAATTTTATACTTATATTAAAAGTTTATTGTAATATAATTAATTTTGCTCTAAATTTATGTTTTATAACAATCCACAATTTATTATTGACAAATTAAAAGAACGAACACTATCACAAATGATGATGTTTTATGTACATACACTTGTACATTAAATATTATTTAATATTTGGCAGACGTCAGGTAGCTTCCGATTCTTGGTTTTGACCAAGATCCTCAATTATTAAACTAGTCACTAACAGTGTAGATATATTTTTTAAAGACATATTAACTAATGCACACTATGAAACTAATATCCATTGTAAATTTATACATTATAATTAAAATAATTTAAAAAAAAAAACCGAGCACAGGGGTGTCGCAGCACAGTGGTGACGTAGCATAGTTGGATCTAGTATAATGATATCTGACAGTGATTAAAATCACTATAAAAAAAAAAACGCTTCGATGCAAATCATTAGATAGTGTTTAATGTTAAAAAAATTGGTGTTTTATTCCAAAAGCTACATGATTTACTAGTTTCTTATTAATATCCTAATTAAGATAAAGTATGTCAAATGCAAGAGGGATTATTAAAAAATATTATTTCTCATAAAAAAATTATGTTGATCCATACACTTTTCAATAAGTTATAACATTATAATGTTAAAAATGTAAAAAATTAAATCGAGAATTTTCACACAAAAATAGCATTCGGTAGCCATTTTCACCGAGAAGACAAAATAAAGTCTGAATTTTTTTTTTCCATAATAAAGTACATTGCATTAGCTTTAATTTAAAATATAAATAAAAGTGTCAGACTTTCCGGAACACTTTCAAAAGTTAAGTTGAAATAGTTCTACTTTTTACATGCATTTTTTAGATTTGAACCCCCCTCGTATATAGGAAAATGGTCCGATTTAATAAAACAGTATGTCGAATGAAAGATGTATATAAATACTACTTCTCATGAAAAAATTGTATTGATCCATACATTTTTCAAAAAGTTATAGCATTATTAAGTTAAAAATATAAAAAAGAATTATTTTACAAAAATCGTAATTTTTTATTAATTTTAATGTCTATTTTCACCACGAAGACAAGTCCAGAGGTCAAATTTTTTTTTTTGCATAATAAAGTATATTACATAGGTTTTAATTTAAGATATATATAAAGTGTCAGACTTTCTGGAACATTTTCAGAAGTCAAGTTGAAAAAATTAATTTTTTGTGAAAAAGTTGTCATTTTAAATCCCCCTGTGGGCAGATAAAGGGTCAGATTTGTAAAAAAAATATATGCCAATTAAAAGGTAATGATATCATGCATCTATATAAAAAAAAATTATATTGATTTGGTTATTTTTAAAAAAGTTATAGAATTTTAAGTAAAAAAAATTGAAAAAATTTCAAAAATTAGCGATTTTTAAATTTGTAATTTTTTTGGAGGTTTCCCCTATTTACGGAGAACGAGGGAATTTTTTTCAATTTTTGAGGGTAATGTCTTTGACTAGATACGATTTGTGATCTTTTGACGTATCATTGAAAGAAATTGGTTCGCTGAGAGCTGAGAAAAAGTGGTAACATTCAAAAAAAAATAAACACACCTTAGTAAAACCAATACTTTCTCAACTTCGTATCGAAGCTAATAAATGGGTTCAAGAGTGATTGGTTCAAACACACCGTGATATGAATTTGCCTACAGTAGCAGAAGAAATAAAGAGATTTACCCGCATACATGAAGTTAAAGCATTTCAAGCAACAAGACAATCCATGAAAGCTTTAACACATTCTTGAGGTTAGATTAACAAACCATAGTTACACAACAGCCATTTAACTTTTGGACAACTCCGAAGATATAAGTTGTCTTAAACGTCATAAGCCAATGACTTAGTTTAAAAAAATCAGTTTTTAAATTAGGTTAAGGAGCTACCTCACTGGATTTAACAATTCACACATGTGTATTCTTTATTAATTGTTAGAAAACTATGTAAAATATACAATTATTCTAAAATATATTTATAAAGATAATTTTATCGTTTAAATAATAAAGCCATTTGGTAGTTTGTAAAAAAAATGTTTGGATACAGTTGTATTTAATGCGATAATTATTAGTTTTGACAAATATATTAATATTAATAGGAATATATTAATGGATATTAACGATTAGCGTTTTATATGTATTGATTTTTACAAAAAAAATAAAATGGAAATATTTGCAGGGAAAGCTTGAATCTTAGTATCATATATTTTTTAGTTGAATGGATTTTATTTATTATAACGTTAAAGAGTAGCCTTAACAGAGTATTACTGTGATTGAAGTTTCGCATAACCAGCATGTAATTTATTTGCATCGGGTGGTCTGTAGTAATCGCATGTTGCTGAAGAGTTTGTTTCAATTTGATTAGTATTTACTAATTCAAAGTGTTATTGATGTTTCTTATGTAGGAAGTAGTGGGTAACGCTGTTGAAAATGATAGCTAATAATTTAAAATTTCAACCAAATTCATTACACAACAGTGTTATGTTTATGCATGAGCTTATTGCAATAGAAATAATTTTTATTATGAAAACTATTCCTAAAAAGCCAGACATTGCGTATTCAAAGGCAGTGAACCAACCCTACATATGATACAGAAATAGTTGTACTCAACCACTTCTCTAATAACATTTGGGCCAAATAATTAATGTAAGTTTATTCTTTGATTGCATATTTCATATCCAAATGTTTGACGATCTTTATTGTTTTTTATTGCAGAAATTTCTTGTGGAAACATTAATAGTTTTTGTAATGCATTCATTGTGTCCTTATCATATATACCCGCTAGGGTGGTCCAATTCTTATGGGTAAAAAAAAAAGTTTTTTTTTCTAAGCTCCACAACCATATTTTTGTTTCTTAGTCAAAAATAAATGTTCACGCCATAAACTAGCCCATTCTAAACATATTTAGAGGTCGCTAGGATTTGTAAGTAAGAAGTAATAGGAATTTATCAATGGTTTTTATTCTAGCGTAATCATTAACCGCCGATAACGAACAGATAATAGCTGTGCATAATAACCATGAGTATTTTACATTGTCCGTCAAAAATGAATTGTATTTTCCTTTACTATCTTATTTTATTTACATTATTGGTTGTCCAGTTAAAACTGAAATGGTGCGACATGAGTTAACATTTCAAACCATTTATCGACATTTTATTTTGAACTGTTGTTGAGTCAACATCGCTTGTTATAAACACGTGAGTATTTGAAACGTTACCTGCGGTTATTAATTAATTTAAAATACATATATTAATGATTGTACTTTTTTATTATCACATTTGAAATATTTAACACTTTGGTGTCCGTTGAAGCTATTGACATTTTTTTAACTATTCTAAAGTTTTGTTTGATAATCAAAACAAAATTATTTTTGTGAATTACCTATTAAATTTTTAACTATAGTTATTACAAAATATTATATTAGATTTTGTCTTAAATAATATAATGGCTTCCACCAGCAATTTAAAATCAACAAGAACATCAGCTACCGTGTGGTTGATTGGAAAACCTACAGAAACATTTTCATTTGGAAAAAAAACAAACTTTTAAAAAAAGTATAAGGTCTACAGCGGAATCCGTTTTGGAAGTTTGAGAAAAAGCAAGGATACCTACTCAAAGAATTGACTCAGTTGAAAGAAAACTAAGTAAACTGGTGGATGAATACTATCTTTTAAAAAAGAACAGAAAAACAAATCTTGATAGTTGCCGTATGAAAGAATTGGTATTTAAAGGAGACTTAGTTGATATTTTTGACATAGCTGTTAAGGATGCATTAAAAATAATGAAAAATGAAGAAGACAAAACATTTTTAATAATGCAGAGAGAAGACAGAATGAGCTGCAGTATGGCAGGTGTAGACAAGCTGCAAGAAAAAAAAGAAATTAGAAAACGAAAAAGAGAAGTAGAAGCTGAAACTAGAAGACAACATAATCAAGAAAAAACGCTAATGAGCTTAGAAATAGCATCCGATTCCGAAATAATGGATTCTTGTAAAAGCAGCTCAAACTGTTCATCGGGTGATGAGTTTCAAGTTCCTTCTACTTCAACAAATATAAAAAAACCCACCAATATTAAAAGTGTATTTACTGAGGATGTTGTAGCATCTATTGACCGTGTAAACTTGTCTGATCGGAATGCAATGTTTGTCGTTGGATCAATAGCTCAGGCTTTAGGAACCCCAATAGCAGATATCTCTTTATCACGTAGTACAATACGTCGTAAAAGAAATCAAATTCGCAAAACTGTTGTGGAAACTGACAAAACAACATCTTCTTTCGAGCATCCTCTAGTTTTGCATTGGGATGGTAAACTGCTGCCTGACATTGTTGGAGGGACGCAAAAAGTCGATCGAGTGGCTGTGCTTGTCACTGGCGGTGGTTTAGAAAAGCTTTTAGCAGTTCCAAAGATTGATAGAGGCACGGGCAAAGAACAGGCTGATGCTTGTCTCAATGTTCTTGAAGAGTGGAAGTTAAAGGCCTACGTGCGAGGACTCTGCTTTGATACTACATCTTCTAACACGGGGTTGAATTTGGGCGCATGCTCTTTAATCGAAAAGGCTATAGCATCTGATAAAGAGCTTGTCTGGATTGCTTGTAGACATCACATTTTTGAAGTTTTGCTTTCTACCGTCTTTAAGGAAGTGTTTGGACCAAGTGGGGGTCCAGATGTCAATCTTTTCAAACGTTTTCAAAAACAATGGCTGGGAATAGATAAACAAAATTTTAAAGTTGGTGATGAAAATTTATTTAACCATGACAACCTGCTTCAACTCCGTCAAGACATGCGTTCTTACTATATTGATGCTATTGAAACGCAACAGCCAAGAGACGACTACCTTGAAATAATAAACTTGTGCAGAATTTTTCTCGGAAAGTCAGAAGAAAGTAAAGTTAGATTTCGAACGCCAGGAGCCTTTCATCAAGCCCGTTGGATGGCAAAGGCAATCTATTGCCTAAAAATATACATGTTTCAAGATCAGTTCGAACTCACTGCAGCACAGAAAAAAGGTGTCACGGAAATAAGTCTATT